GTTACGACATTTGCATACTCACTGCTGGCCAGGTTAGAAAGTTCGGCAAACACTCTCGAATGCGTCAGATGGTCATTCATGATGTTTTTCCGGCGGCGGTCACTTCCAGGCCCTAGAAGATATGGTCAATATAATGACCCACAGAGAGAATATTATCAGGATCGTTTGACAAACCTCCTTCTCGGTTCATGGCAGCATAAGCGGGCTGCATCAGGCCTGACATAAACGAGCTGGCATGGCCATAAAGCATGTCTCGCTTCGTGAGTCTAGCGAGGCTAGTTAGAATCGAATTTGCGGTCATCTTCCAGAACATCATACGCTAAGGCTTGAATCATCTTCTGGATAGAGTCCCGCATGTGCTCCTCGATGCATTTTTGCCTTGATTTCATGCTGCGTTGGAGGTTCTCGAGGGCGCGGGGTGCAAGCTGAATATGTGCTATAGAAAGCTGTCAGAAGGTCATGGTACATACGAGCGTCTGTCCAACCCAAGGACGACCTACGCTCAATCTCTTCTCGCAATTTTCCAAAAGTAGTGCGAGTTTCCTTCACCAATCTCCCCGCTTGGGATTGCAGCCAATCCAGCAGATCCTCCCATTTAAGATTTAGATCTTCACGCGCTGGCTGGATTAACTCGTCATTCCAACAGCGATAAGGCTGGGCTCTAGTCTCATATTCTCCGAATCTGCTGCAGAATGCAGTATACGTGGAATGGTTCCACTGTGAAGAAATATTAGGATTATATCGTGTAGGTAGGGACTTTCTTTTGGGAAAGGAAAACTCACAGGTGCCCATAACAGACTAATTTTGATACTCTCAGTCGTCCAGCGGGATCGTGAATTCCCTAGGGAAGTCCATTAGAGCTGAGATCAAAACATCCATTACACAAAGTAACTCACGAATAACCGCAGCAATGCATTCACTGAATAGATGATCCAAGCTTTGATGGGCAAGATGAAGAGACGGCCGAGATGAAATAAATTCCTATTGACTATCAGAAAAAGTTTCGGTCTTTTGGAACGCTGCTCAGGACCCAGAGGTACCGTCTTGGAAACATACTCGGTGAAGAGTATCCTGTGCATCTTTCAGCACCCGGTGGAGGATAGCGGATTTTTCGGCCGTAACCGAATATGTTCCCGACAACGCCCATTGACGTAGAGATCCCAACAAAGCTGGCACTTGGTGTTCCAAGAACGCGGATGTCGAACGCATTTGACCCTCTGCAGGGACCAATTGGCAGTAGCGGCGCAGCTCGCGAATTCCCGTAAGGTCGATGTATGCCTCAGCCTGGCTCTTCGGACTACGGCGGTACTCCGAATAGAGCGTATTACTGATGCAGAAAATCCTGATGTCTGCGTACTTTTTGACAAGCTCTTGTGATACCATGGAGTTTCGCCGATTCATGAGCATCTTCATTGGCTCCTTTGGTTGCTCTAGCCTGACTGGGACCGTGGACAGCGGCATCAGTATCCTCCTCTAGACTGCCTACATACTCGGCCTGCTTATTATCCTTTTGATCGACCCTTTATGCATTTTCGAGCAGAAACGATTCCATGAAAATGGATATCCTTTTACCGTACGCCGCCCGCTGGTCGGGTTCCGCTCCTGTGAGCAGATCGTACCTCAGGAAGTCCTTGAGCGGGGACTCTATCGTGTAGAGGACGCCAAATAACAGCCTCGTCTCCATGATTGGATATCGCTACGGGCCCGCATTCTGGCGCATCTAGGCGCGGAGATAGTTATAGCGACAAAATCGGGGATTGGTGGTTTCGGCGTGAGGGGCTCCCTGATCTCTTCGCTTCGGTGCTGCCCATCTTGCTCCCTCGAGAGTTGTTCTATACTAGCTGATTCTTCTTGACTTTGCGCATCACCTCGTCTGTTGGGACTTTTACTGTACCAGCCTGCGGCTCGGTTTATGTCTATCAATACGTATAAGATTACTACTGAAAAGAGAGAAGCCCTATTTCTAATAAAGAATCACTAGAAGATCCTGGATAATCTGGTAGGCGTCTACCACGCTACCTAATGTAACGGGTGCTAATATATGTCATTGAGATACGCTCCTGCAGTAGCTTTTCAAACCCCTTAAAATGTTGAATTGAGCCATTGGACGATACTAGTATTCCCGTTATTACTGTTTCGAATCTAATTCGAGCGAAAAGCCTACAATTGCAGCTATCGAGAATCATTCTAGTATTTTCAACATTATCTGTACATCTATTCTGATTTACATATGTGATGTTTCCTTTCGAAGAGAAACATATTCAGACAAGAACCGTCACCCAAACATACAATGCTCCTAATATAATCTCCAAGGGGGGAGTGATATATCATCAAGTCAATTCCAGTCGTATATGCGCCATATATATATCTACAATTTTTTCGAAAACCTACATATGTATGCACTGCAGGCATGCATATATGCTGCCATAACGTTTATCATTTACTCTTCATCCTCGTCCTCACCCTCATCACCATCTCCTTCGTCTTCGTCATTCTCCTCAAACTCAACACCAATCTCTCCAGTAATATCCCACCGATCACCCTTAGCGGCAGCACTGACATACTTGACGAACTTGAGAGTGCCGCCATCCCGCAGCACAATGCTGAGACGGTTCCATCCCGCTTGCGTGCTGAACAGAATACCATCATCCTCATCTGCATCCGCAGACCGGTAGATAGCCGGATCGGCCTTGGCCTTTTTCCGACCGAGGACTTGGTCGGCGTTCTCGGAGTCCTCTTCCTCATCATCTTCATCCTCATCACCAGCCATGTAGATCTCATACCCGCCCAGTGCAGGACCTTCCACAGCGACGTCGTTTGTCTTCTCCTTCGGCTTGGTTGCCTCGGCAGACGAGCCACTAGCTTCTTCATCCTCATTCTCTTCCTCATCATCCTCCTGCTGCTTCTCCCACCCCGGGCTCGGGGTAAGACAGAGCGAGAACTCAAGACGAGGCTCCTCGCCTTCGTACGCACTAGCAAGAGTATAGTCCGCACCGCGACGGAACCGTCTCGCAAGCAAATTGTGGCTCGTGAGGTGATCCACACCAGTAACAAGTCCAAGCCACTTCCGGAAAGGCTGCGACGGGAACAGAACGTTCAACAGCTCCTGAATCGGGTTCTGGGTATCCTTCTCACCAGAAGGATGCTGGTACAGGTACCGATGCTTGTGCGGAGGACGAGCAACTGTCCACCCACGCTGCGCCTGGATCTCATCCGCCGAAGCAGGAAGAGCCTGCCTTTCCTGCTCCTCGATGTATGCACTGACACGCGATCCAAACTTATCACTCAGGAACCGCTCTAGACTGAGCGAAGACTCGGCCGAGAACGCGTCCGACATCTCCTCGGCGATATCGGGCGTCAGGTACGAAGGCGATATGTACTGAAGCAGGAAGGCTAGGTCGCTTTCTGTGAACTCGTCCTCGGTCTGCTCTTCCACTTTGCCCTTACCCTTACCTTCGACTTCGGGCTCCTCCCAAGACACAGGCTTCGGCTGCGGCAGGTCGTAGATATCGCCGCGCCCCTGCAGCTGCGCCAGACTGCTGCGCTCGGCAAGCTTCTCTTCCAGTCCTTCCTCGTAGCCATCTTCGCCTTCTTGCGGGATGTGGAACCAGCCGCTGATCGCCATGCGCACGCGCTTCTTTGTCTTGTCTTCGTCGTCGCGTGGGTGGTACACTTCCTCAACATCGTGGAAGCTCTCGCCCGGTTGGACGGTGAAGAAGCTCAGCTGGTTGAAGGCGGGAGGGATGGAGAGGCTATAGTCCGGGCTGGGGATCTTGACGTCCTCGCCTTTGGCATCCTTTTCGGTCGTTGTTGGGTACAGGCGCAGGGCACCACCCCACTCGGCTTGCCAGGGTGTGTCGGGGTCGGTCAGGTAGAGGATGTAGCTGAGCCGGCGGCTGCCGATGACATCGTCGTGGCACAGGAGGTGGCAGCCCTCGGTGTAGACGTTGATGGCCATGTCGGTCTTTTGCCCGCTCAGCTTGCCGGACCCTGTTACGGAGGACAGGTACTCACGGAACCGGGCTGAGTACATCGCGTCGCGCAGCTTCAGTACCGATGGCAGTTTCGAGAGGGAGGAGTCATCCAGCCCATCAAGGTTGGCGAGGTCGCCAGACTGGAAGATCTTGTAGATGTCTGTTTCCTTCTCGGTGAAGGACACTTGGGTTTCGATCTCATCGCGGACGGAGCGGAGGAGAGTGGGCTCGATCAGAGGGTGAATGACGCCGTGGAGGTAGCTAGTGATTCAGAAATGTCAGTCTTTGTCATTGGACTATTTCCCAGCGTATACATACGGAGAAGACTTGGCGTATTCAGCGGTGTACTTCTGCTGCTCCGCGGTGTCGAATAGGCCGTCGCGGAAGCGGGCAGCAGCCTCCTCGCTGGAGAGAGCCCGTTTTTTGGACTGGGGCATGGCATTGCCATCGAGAGAGGCCCTTGCGTCTGTCTTGCGCTTCATTTTTGACGGTTGTAGAGGAATGGGAGCTTCAACAGCGAGTGGTCTGATGTTTCGTAGATTTTTCCGGGCGGTGAGGGCGCATGATGAGGCGGTCAACTGAGTTAGTGTTTGCCACGATGCCAAGGTGGAAGATCACAGTTCACTTCGAAGGTTTAAGTCTAGGTATAATTAAACATATCTTACATATCTAGTATAAATGTAGTTCAAATCTCAGTTAATATCCCGTTCCAAACACTCGTTTGTAATTTAGAGGGCTAGTCTCTTAGACAAGTGGCGCATATAGCCGATACGCTCGTCCCTATCCGATGGCAAACTAGTTCCTGCACGTCTTTTCTTTGTCTTTGGGACCTGAAATTAGCAAAAGTTCCTCCATAACAGCTACAGTCTTGATTTTGATCTTCAAAGCCATCACATGTGATTGCGGCAAATCCAGGCACCGCTGTCGTCATAACCCACATATCCCGCCTTATCACCGGAAAGACCTCGATTGTCCCCCCACTTAGCCCAACTTGCTTGATCCTCTTCAACTCAGTTGAATCTCATCATGCAGCAACAAGGGGCTGAAGCCACAATCCCAGATCAGCCGGGAACCCCACCTCGCCCGCCTTATTCCCCGGTGACGCCCGTTTTTGCTCATCTCGCGCCAGTCGCCTCCAACGAGCCTTCAATCGTACCGCCACCTGCATCTCCCTCTCCAACTTCACACCTCCCTCCACAGACATATCCCAACTATTCACACCCACCCCCTCCGCCCAATCCACCCGTCTTCAAGCCCCAACCGCCTCCTGTTCCTATCTCCGCGAGCGAAAATCCAGATGCCATCGCGCTCCGTTCCGCCATCTCAATCCTGCAAATGCAGAAGCAGCAAAGTTTGCGCGACATCCAGGCGTTGGATCGCATGAAAGAGGCCGCCGCCGCTGATCCAGAGGGGTTTGCGAACGAGCTGGCAGCAGGTCGGTTGAAGACCGAGGACCGCGGTGCTGTGATCCAGTTCTCCGAGGACGATGCGAGGGATGATGAAGAGAATGAAGAAGGTTCAAAACGAACGACTCTGGATGGCTCATCGGCTTCGAATTTCGGCCATATCCCTGTTCCACAGAATATCGTCCGTATGCCCCCAATCAACTGGGCCAAGTATCAGGTTGTTGGAGAACCACTTGACCGCATGCACGAGGAGCAATTACGTCGACCGAGCTCTGGGGAACCCAGACGGCAGCGCGCCCCGGAACATGTTTTGGCCTCGCCGTATAGGCCACTGGTAGATCAGTTGGAAGGACCGAGACTCGGCCGTCCCAGCAAGGCGAAAAAGACGTGAGGCCGCAAAGCGGCTTTTATGATTATGGGATTATGGACCTTTACGAAGTTATGTACTTTAAGCTTACGAACAGAACTAGACATGTGTTTTCATGCCTATTTACTAAGATTTCTTGGGTTGGCGGAGTGTTTTGCACAAGTCACTGATTAAAAGCAGACGGTCAAAGGAAAGATACCTCATTTATCCATGCCTTCCAAGTTCTGAATTTGTTGGGACTCATCCCTTGTCTACCAGTGGTCGTGACCCAAGGATTCCTCTTTAGACCCTGGCGCTGGCAGAGTCCTTTGGATCAGAAACCTCAATATGCAGTATAATTCTAAAGGATAGATATCCTTGACAACCTGAGGCAAACAAGCCTCTGATATCTCAGGACTCTTGGTGCATAAAGTTCCTTTGACTTCCCAAAAGGTGCACAGAAGCAGGATGGAATCATCGTTACATACACAATTCAGGGGTGAAAACAACATTTGAACCTTGGAAGAAGTACCCCCTAGAGAACTTCCCTAGCAAGAATTAGTCTACGTATGAAGAATACAACATGTTCTCCTTCCACTATTGTTTAACTAGACTGGCAACTAACTAGTCCTAATTCCTGTGCTACCAGATGTCAACGGAACTTCATCGGTTCGTGACGTTGTAGTGTTTCGCCTGATAGCAGTTCGCCAGTGCTCTTCAAGTTTTCTTTTACCATTGAAGCATAGGCGAAACACTACAACAAACTCCAGGAACCGATGAAGTTCCACCGAAGAGATCCACTGGTAATGTCTACAAAGCACCTCAAATTGAAGACTCGCCCACGAGTACCAGATAGGTACCTACTGATTTGAATGACTCATTTTCTTCATTCGACGGCCGTCTCTTCCAAGTTAATGACAGAGATGGATTTCTAACGTGTTCCAATAAATTACGAGATATGAGGCAAGTTATCCATCCATCCAACTGCCTAGCTGACGGCTTGATATGCATCTGCAGGCAAAAGGCTAATTTCATTTTACTCTCACTCTCACTTCTCCCACTTCACGTCTGCACAGCACACTTCTCTCACTTTGCGTGACTCTTCATCCACTCATCCACCACTCCACTTCTGTTCCATCCTCCACGTCTGTTCCATTCCTTGCATCTGCCTACGACACGCTCCCCTGTCGGAGTCCCACATACGACCACGCCGTTACTGCTTCGCTATGGCGTTCCCAGTCGCAAACACAGACGGAGTATCTCCTATTGAGTCTTATGGCCCGTTGTTCTTGAAATGGACGCCAACGCGCGAACTGACCTCGGCCTGAACAACCACTTCGAAAAGGCCAGGCAATGGCTGGAAAAATTCCCACCTTTCAATGCCTACCTACAACAGGCCCTCTACAAAGTTGACGTATGATGGCGTGGAATACTGGGCCCTTCCGGACCTCTTGGGCTCTTTATGAAGACTTTAGGTCGAGCTCCCACAACAGCAAGTAAGAGCCCCCCGGTTGATTGCGCTAACCTTAAGAAGATCTACGAATCAGCCACCGAATCCCTCTGGCTTCTGAAAAACCGTCGTCTAAACAACGGCCAAAACGGTCGGATTATCAGAGGAAATTCGGTGTCATGGGGCTACGAGACCCCGTTGTGGAACACGATCCAGATGATCTCGGGAGCTTTATCATTTCGTCTTCACTTGCCATTTCATCTACCACAGCTCGCCAAGCAACCATTCATTGCCTTCTTGAGCATCCTCTGCTTTCCATTCAGCGGCTAACAAGAATGGATGGCAAGGTTTTCGGTATATTGACCGGAGGTGACGAGCGGCAGCACACGACCTACTTTTGCCGGTTGAATGGCGTGTTGGATGATATTAAAGACCGGCTGGTAACGTTTTGTTTACCCTCTCAGGTGAGGATATACATGCCCATCTCTGCCTAAGTCCATCCCAGGACCGGGACGGGCTCTTTCTCATGCCTACCCTATTTGATGCGGATCATGAAAGGTACGTCATGGTCATAGGTAAACCTTAGGGCTTCCTAGGAATGCAGGCATTTGGCCCTTTCAAGACGGGTAACGCCGAGCACATGACCTTTTTTGGGAAGATCATGCTGGCTATCATCGAGGTTCTACAACAAACACAGCTAGTATGAGATGGATTGTCTGTTCAGTGGGACCATGTTCCATTTTAAGGAGTTACCTAGCCCGAGAGATACGTGTAAGAAGAATCAGTTTGTCGTACGGTTGATCTGCCTCTCAATTCCAAGATAGCATTGTGGACACTCGCATTCGAGAGCAAATTGTCCACTGATCATATCGTTCTCTGCGCAGGAGTCCAGATCTACTGTAGTTTCAACATTTCCGCAAAGGGTGGCAGAGCTATTCAGGCGGGTTCAGTCCCTACGGTGCGAACCACGTGGGATGGCTTCTGCGCTCGTGGTACCAAGACTGTGCTGCCGCAGACTAGCCAAAGACTCCACTACAGAAGAAGGCCGTGCCACTATATACAACAAGTTTGATTCTTATCATATACCACAAGGAAGGTTCTGGAGTTTAGTCCGTAGACAGAGACAGAGAAAAAAGACAACAAACATAACTTATTTCATGCTAAGATGCTCCTGCAAATCTTGAGGTAAAATACACGAAGTCTCTTCAGGCAGACAACTCATAGCAGAATCGACATCGCCACTCTTAAGATATCCATCGATCTGCCTCATAGTATCAGTCACATCAGTCACCGAAATAATCCACTCATCAACATATCTCCGAACAGCCTCCCCACTCAATCCAATCTGAATACTTCGATAATCCAAAGGACGAAGTGAAAGATCCCGCTCGGGATCCCACTGAACGCGCACTGGACTAGCGCGCAGTTTCTTCTGCCATTCCCCTTGGCTTGTCTCCTTACCAGGCATATAGTGACTCAAACAGCAATGCTGCAATGCCCATTCGAATCCCTCGCGGGTAATCTCTATCGCTAGGACACGCTCCTGTCGGGATTTTGTTGCCCAGCCTGATCGGTATGCCATCCATAGGAAAGAGGGTTTGATCCATGTCATTCTCTCTCGTGAGAATGGAGGGACGAATGTTTGGGCTTTGAGTGCTGGTTCGGCTATCTCGGGGGAATAAGCTTGGTACACGGTGATTGTACTTTGGGTTTGTTTGGCTCGGATGACCCTGTAGGTATTTGAGGTCATTGTTGGATGTGGACAAGTGTTGTTGAAGAGTTGTGCATGTTCGTATTGGAGAATATTCATGCGCGGGGAATAAGAATTATGCGATGATATAGCGAGATCATCCAGTAGGCGTGAGAAATCGGACTTAAACCTTGAGTGTCTATAGAAATATCTTTCCTTTTGAATAAATAAAATCAGGCCTCATAGTACTGACTCATAAGTTGAAGCCCACCACACCAAACCTAATCGGGTCTCCGTGATGCATAATAAATCTTGTTAGGTGCGTCACGAAGAAGAGCCAAGTCATCTCGCTCACCTTCTGGGATAATGACCCGACCAAAATACCGAATTCCTGATGATAGAATAGGCATCACGACAAAAATCGGGATTTTGCATCAGTTTGACAAAGGGCTTGATCTGCCAGCTTCAGCAACCATAGAGGCTGACCGAGGCTCCTTCCGCTCGAAAATACGTATTTCGAGGATATCGCAGCCCTCAGTTGAAAGTGTCTAATGCTGATATCGTCCACGGGTGTCATGTTTCTTCCAAGATTGGATATTGTAGACACTAGAAACTACCGTCCTGTACTGCTAAGCGGGTTTATGATCTGCGTTAGCGCCCCACATGGCAACTATAGAAGTCGTAGATTTAAGAAGCGCTGGCGTAGACATCAAGACCACTGGGCAACTTTGTACAGGGTCTACATGAACAAGGTCCTCTTACTTATACCACGCTGACAAGCCCGTACTTTGTCCAAGGAAATCTCTACAGACTTATGAGGCATGGCTTCGAACCGCGGCGTTATTATCAGAGCCTGAAAATGACCAAAGAAAACGACGACCTTCGGCCACTTCACGAGAAAAAGGGAATAAACAGGGAGCAACTCGATCTCTGTAAGAATAGACGGGTTCCAAGACGTAAGTTGACGTGTCAGGACTCGGAGCTGTGGCTGCCTTTTTTCATATCACATTTATACGGATGCTCTTCAACACTAGCGAAAATAGTCGCAAGTATCACAGATGAACGTAGCGAGGGCCGAAAAGTCACTAGTTTAGACAGTCCACTGAAAGTCCTTGGTATCGACAATAAAAAGGAAACCGCCGCCTTTCGCATACGGGGTGTTCTTTGAGTTATTGGTGATGACTAGCTACCCAGTATGCATGAATCTATCATTGGACTGGTGCTCTTCAATAAGAACCCCTATTCTACCCTTTCATTACTGATAACCGTTTATACTGTGGAAGATCAACGTAAGACACCTTCGGATTATTCAACATAAACCTATTGACTGGACTACTTAGCCGAGCCCGAAAACATATATCAGATGAGAAATGATGCTGTCAGTCAAGGGTATAACGTCTTAGATTTTAACAACCCAGGGCACAGTATGGTTGTTATTGGATTGGCAGCACTTGCTAGAATGCAGACGTAGAACATGCATTGCTTCATTGACGCATGGGGAGGGTGAGATGAATCCCTTGGGGGTTGGTATTAGTAGGTGGACGAGGATATGGGAGGAGAATACCACACTTCCCAAGCCCCGCTAGGGGACTGAAATTGTCGCAGGAATATCGTGTGGTCGTAAGTGCTGATAAAGCCATATTCACATCCTAGGCTCTGCATATCCCGAAGTGGTTGGGCAATCTTTTGTCGCAGGTCACGTACACGGCGAACGGCCGTCTTGAGGTTATGCTTGTGGAACCAGTTCGCATTTGTTGATCGTAGAGCATCAACAGCACGAGCCGGCCGCGCGGAAAGGATAAAAGCAAAAGCGTACACCATTGTCACCGGTCCCTGGTTCAACGTATTAAGGCCTACGTAGAAGAAACATTGTCTCACAGAGACAACAGGGGGAGTCGTCATGAGCCTATCGTAAGTGGTGGACGACAGGATCATAGGGGAATACTCAACCCTCTATACGCCATTATTGCCAAACGACCTGTCGTAAGAAGATCGTTTCTTCGTACGTCGTGCGAAAGCCGTACATGCGGCCCAGGTCCTCCATATACATGATAGGTTGTGCTAGTATCTCTCTCAAAGGTTCTTTATTAGCAAGCCTTCGTTGAATATGATGCTCGTCAATCTAGGGTGCCTTGGCCCTCAGCGAGGAAGTCTTTCGCCATCCTAGTGAGGAAGAAGCGAAGGGTATCGCAGCCCCTAAGGACGTTTTCCAATGACATTGTCGGCGCCCCCCATCGCCGCCCAGTAGCGTGCATGCGCCTCCTGGGCGTACTTCATGTTGGTCTCGTCGTCGGTATCAGTGTCGGCGTCGGGAGCATCCAAAAGCCCGGTCCGCTCGAAGAGGGAATCATCCACGGTTTGGTCGGTGCTCAGTTTATCAGCAACCCCAGAGTGGATGAGACGCTGAGTGTTCTCTCTGACCCGTTCCTTAGCGGCGGGCTCATCGGGCTTGCACCTAGCGAGGATAAGGTTCTCGCCTGCCGCGTTAACAGGCGGCTGGTCCAGGTGGACCTAGGTTATCCAAGTTATTAAAGGACCGGGGTGGGATGAACTGGAATAGGGAATTTACCTTGGGGGCACCGGATGCAGTAGCGGTCTTTGAGGTCAAGACGCTCTCACCGAGGGGGAGCTCGGGACTGGTAATGGCCGGGCCGGTGGTGGTGACTGCGTGCTCATGACGCTGCTGGTTGTACAGGGCCATAGCCTGTCTCCAGGCCTCGTAGTCGCTAAGCCCCTTAGAGCGCTGAAGGGCCAACATCCTCTCGAAGGAGAGTGGGATATTGTGATGTTTATCCATCCTTATAAGTGGTGAGATGGCGTGATGATGTTAACTGAGATGGATGAAGGTCAGGATGGATGAAGGTCAGGATGGATGAAGGTGAAGATGGATGAAGGTGAAGATGGATCAAGTTGAAGATGGATCAAAGTTGAAAGTACAAGGTAGGAAAGGAAAAATACTTACTAGGTGTGGTCATTTGGATATGACCTCAGGAGTGGATACTTAGTCTGAGTGCGAGATCCTGTACCTAATTTTGGCAGGGTGTTTGCTTGCAATGACTTCTTGGAAGAAGAGTTTGACATTTGAAAGAGATGACAATGTCAAGCAATTGTTAGATCTTAAAACCCTTTAAGTCAATTGTAAGAGAGACTTGATGAAAAAGTGAGAGAACTCTGAAGAGGTACCATATAATTGTCGAGCGGTTGATGGCTATATCAATTTTATTTCTCTAAAATGGAAGCGGCGATTGCCATACCTACTAGTCCACAGTATACTGACAAGCGAAGGAAACTACCATCAGTTCGTTTTCTACTTCCTTCAACGTACATACAACTTTGAAGCACACCTACCTACGTACAACATCTCAATGCCTCTTTATCACTCGTCGACAATCCGCTACCTACACGCGCAACCTTCATTCTCACCTCTCAATAAAGCTACCCTGCTCATTTACCATTAAACAATGGGAGCTAAGAGGCCAGCGGCATGGAACACCCAGCCCTATCGAAGAAGTCGAAGTCCAATGGAGCAAAAGGGTCAGTTCAAGGACATCTTCATATCTCATTCGAAGATATCCATCTTCGACCAAAGTAGCGGGAATACGATCATGAAATCATGGGAAGTGTACGCTCCTTCCAGCAAACAACTCCTTTTCAAAATGCCGAGCGGACCTCATGAAGTAGCAATCGGTGCTTTCAACTTTCGATACTTGGAGAGGAACAGTGGATGAGAGCTCTCTGCAGAGGAGTGGAACGACAGTTAGGGGTAGTCTCCGTCTTCATTTACCTACAGCTTCACTTCCCGAGTCCTAAAGGTACCCAAACTTGCTACTCGTTATCATGGCTTCTCGGGCGTCTCTAGCTTTAGTTTGGTCCTGCCGTACAGTTCGGTCGTCCATCTTATATCGCTACCCGCGTGGTCGCCTCTCGAAGCAGGTCAGGGCGCGCCTCAGGTTCTCGCAGGACCCCTTCCTCCGCTCGGAAAGGTCCACATACAACTGAAAGCTCTGCGACCCTCGCACCACCTTCGTCGGCGAGCTTGGCGCATTGAACGAGTTCGAAGCCGACAGGTTAACCCAAGCTGCCCAGGATGTCAACGTCGTTGTGTCTATCGAGGTATTCGAGTGTGGAAGGGTCTCCGTCAAACATGGAGAATGGCAAACGCGGCCAAACCTCCTTTCTCTTGCCAGCAAATAGAGATCGTACGCAAGCCTGCTCCAAAGAGGGAGAAACTGACCGGAAGTCTCCGGATAGCTTTCGAAGATGCATATCTTCGACCAAAGCGACACAGGGGGACTCCCCTGATACTGAGGGTACTGCCACAACGAATCACCGAGGGCCTTGTCGCCCTGAAAGGGCAGATGCGGCATAGACCCCGATGTACTCAAACTTGAACAGAAAGTGGCCGACCATCGCCGTGGAAGTCAAACATAAAGAGACTTGAAGCCAGCTCGAAAAAGATGTTAAATTCTGATTGACTGAAGCCGCCCAGAACGTCAACGTCGTTCTATCGATTGAGGTGCTCCCCCGTGGAAGGATTTCCGTGGATATCGGTCGAGTATAGGGACTGGAGTACTCTCCAGTAAGTTACCATAAAGACAGAGGAAGCACATCGGGCAGCCCTGGAGGATAGTGTCTTTTTGTCAGAGTCTTTACCATGTTGGATTATTAGCCCTAGCAGACTCCAATTTTGACACTAGCATAAGCATATGGAACTAGAAGTGGACGATTTTCGTCTAAGAGGCTACTGTCATATCAACCAATTGTGTATATATATTTCCGTGGTAAACAGAACGTTCGCCACGTCTACTTTTATAAAAGTACTATTGTTTCCTAGTTGTAAAGATTAATAAGAGGACACTCATAACTAGTAGCATAATATAGCCATGTACAGCAGTACCAAACCGCGAGCACCCAGTGTCCTTCAAAACAAACTAAAATGCCACGCGACTGAGAGATCAAACATGAGGGTACTCTTCTTAATTCAGATACATGGACCGACACAATAGGCCGAGTCGTTGGTCTAAATGGTTGAACCAAGGATAGGTATATGTACACACCCCATGTAATATCAACAAAATACCTAAGTAATCCGAGAATTGTATATCCACCCCACTCAAAGCTTCGCTTTCCCATTCTTCTCAAACTCTTGTACAGCCTCCAGCCCTCTTTGCTGTACGGCTTGATTCTTATCTTCAACTTTTTCCCGCCACTGCAAGTTCCCAGCATGATCATCCAAGCCGCTCAAGACCCGAGAATACATCTCCTCTTTCATGGTGCCGTAGATACCTGTGGCGGCTTTAGTCTGGAGCTTGCGGGTCTGGATCAGCGCAAGCGCTTCCTCGGCCCCACCAATGGCATCAACGATACCAGCCTGGAGTGCATTGCGTCCACCAAAGCGATGAGCTTCTAGAACCACACTTCGGAATGTGACTGGCGCCAGCTTCTCGCGGAAGATAGACATCATGGGCGTCTGAAGCGGGACGCCAAATTCCAGCTCGTTGATACACAGGAAACCACGGTCCGGGTTCATGATTCGGTAGTCATGGTACATGGCCAACATGAATCCAGCAGCAAAAGCGTGTCCATTCAAAAGACACACGGTTGGCATGGGGTAGCTAGGGAGTATGTTAGTATTTCTTTTTTCTTTTCTTTCTTTTTTTTGGAAATCATGCATGAGTAGTGTGTATCCTTCAAACATGCGAGACAAAAACGTACGTCAAGAAGCGTCGGAACAAACGCCACAGCCAGTTCTCAAGGAACCCTTCGGTTTTCCCGACAATATCCAGATCAAGTCCATTGCTGTAGAACTTGGCAATTCCACTAGTTGTAACTACAACGCCCTTGGGATAGCCGTGCTCGATAATGTCCAGGGCAAGAATCAGAGCATCAATAAAAGTGGGTGTCAATCGGTTGTCCGGGGGTGAAGTAAAGGTGAGCACGTAGATAGTCTCATGTTCTTTCGCTGTGCTAGGGTTTGTGCAGATGATCGAGCCTCCGGTAGAGCTGATCGGTACGGTGAAAAGGGTCGTCATGATGGAAATATTTGAGTAAGAAAGTGGGTGAGGAAAAACGATATCTTCAAATATTATTCTCCCTCGGGACTTGAATACTAATCGGACCTCGGCGGTCATCACATGTCGGCAATGATGTCATCACGTGATGGCCGAAGTCATTGTTCGTAAGTAGGGAAAAACGTATTGATGGTAATATTTGATTATTTCAAATGTCCTTTTTATGTTCATATTAATAAGGAAAGGAGGAAAGTTTATGCTAGCCCAAATACAAACTTATTAAACCCTGGTACGCCTTCTCCACATTGTCATTGATAATGATCTTATCACTGCTCTGAGAGTCGAGAGTTACCATGGCCGGCGTGAGCCACGCAGTGAGTGAGCCTCTATGCAAAAAGCCCCCATGTCCTGCCTGAGTCATCCAGTAAGTGAGCCTCCATGAAAAGATGCCACCATGGCATGCCTTAGGCCGCCTCAGAGCAAGGCTCACCTTCCAACGGGCCCGGGTGGCTCGTCAGAGCCGGCCTCTATGCAAACGCTCCACCATGCCGTGCCTGGGCCCCTCAGAGCTGTCCTGTCCCATTTTTAAACACAGATATTACAATTGGCGTCGCCCTAGGAACTTATAGAATCACGTTGCACGTACTGTACTATTAGACAAAACATAAACACTGTGTAAATTAGACTTGATTAACACAACTCCATGAATCCCATCCAATTGGACAAATGTTTCAATCTCGCTTTTCCCAATGCTGACCCTTATCAAAAATAGACTTCTTGATCTCCTTTTTGTCCAGTCCTACCCCAGACATCATTGTTCCATCAAAGACCGTCCTCCACCCCACTGCATTAAGAAACCAAACCAACGAGGCATTTGTGCCCTTCCACAAGAATTCACCCTTGCCTGCTGCGGGCTTTGAAATGACTTCATGGACAACTTGGCGTGCAAATTCCTCCGCTCTCATACTAGTTTGTCCATGGTGTTTACTTCTCTCTTGAACGCTGCCTTCAACATCACTATAGAGGCTGTCGTGGCCGAATGAGATATTGTCGGCCGACATTAGGCCAGTCGAAACTTCACCCATAAATAATGTCACAACTTTGATTCCAAGAGGGGCCAACTCAACCCGGATAGTGTCAGAGTAGGAAGCAACAGCTGCTTTGGAGGCATTGTAACCGGCAGCGAAGGGAAATGGCAGACGGCTAAGGATCGAAGACGTGTTGATTATGGTAGGCGGGGCTTGTGAATCCGGCACAGAGGCTAGAAGAAGAGGGACAAAGGCCGTTACCATGTCGAACAACCCGAAAACGTTGGCGTTGAACATTCTACGAACGTTCTCGCGATCGGCTTCGATCGCTGGGGCTTCGTACACTGTCGATTTTGTCAGAATGCCAGGAGCTGGGGCAGAGGAGAAGGGATAACCCACTCATGCCAGCATTGTTAAGCAGCATGTCCAGTTTCCCTCCGGACCGCTTGGAAATCTCGGCCTGCAGCGTAGCAATGCTCTCCGCACTCGTCACATCTAGCGGAAGTACCTCGATACCTTTTGCTTCTAGCTGGGAAAGCGACTGGTTGACCGAGCAGTTGCAAAGACGCGCATCCCTTGGTTCGCAAACTCAAGAGCAAGAGCATGACCAGCCGAACCAACAGAACAGCTACGGGATTAAAATGATTAGCATTGGGCCAGTCCGATAAGGAGAGGGTATCGCTGATATCACAAACCCAGTAATAAGAATTGAGCGCTTGAATGATGAGGACATAGTCAAGTTTGCTGGAAAGAACTGTATTCTCAGGGCTGGAAATCTATCCTGATGGAGAGGCGCGATCCTATTATACTCGAACCCAGCACAGTCGGTAAGGTCGCTGGTGGCGGCCCGCGTGCTGCTTTGCATTTACCTTTTGATGACGAAGTGAATCCTTCCGAAGAAAAGGACCCTGACCAACCATTTTCCGACCCAGAGACTAGTTTCGGGAATGGTGAATCGCTGCCTCGCATTTTTATCTAAACCTTAAACCGACTTCGTGCTGTGATTAGTAGGGTCGCCGTCTACCGAGGCTAAGGAAGGGGGTGACTGGACTGAACCACACCCCTATAATTAAGCTGTGATGCTAATTGGCTAGTAACTATTGACGTACATTCGACTGCTGGTGTTGATCGGCCTACAATTTAGCATTGTGAGGGAACTGCCTTTACGGAACGCTTCGAGCGAGTCGTATTATATTGGCTCTGTGGAATTTCGCTATTCTAAGTGCGATACGTACCTCACCGAACTCTTGTCCCTTATGCGTCAAAAGCGTAGATATCTACACTCGAGAACCGAAGGATAGGCTTTTATCACTTTGATAATGTTATCGCGGTGCACAATTAGAGGATTTTAGTGTTATCTGGGCGACAATCCTATGTATACGTAAAATCGATGTTGTCTGATATTTAATCCAGACTTAGTCCGGGCATATGCTAAGATTCGCGCTGATGACACTCTTCTCCTCCTGACTGGGCAGAAGCTTTCTTGAACTTGATCCACCTCCTAGTCGTTCCGATTCTGGGTGTTCGACTGGGCTAAGAATGTCCTCCGCGCCTCCTCGTAGACACAGTTCTCGTCGTCGACTTCGTCCTGTAGTCCCGGGTGATATGAATCCTGAAATCTCGGATGGTGGAAAAGAGGTTATCCGATAGCTGTTAAGCACGTAATCCAGTTGGTAAAAAAACCCACTGTAACGACACTCCGCATGAAAGTCGTACCCTCATTATTCTCCTTTCTCACGGTTCGCTCTCCTCGAAAATGCCCCCCTTGACCCCATGTCTCCATCCTATATAGCCTGTTACTCAAATAATACTTCCCAACCCTGCACTCCCTAACTTTCCCCACCGATCTCTGAATTTTAAACTTGAAATAGCGCCCGCAATCATCCCCGCATAGGTCCAATCATCACACTCCATCTGGCCTTTATTCTCTAACAGTCTCCAACTTCGGTCTTTCCACTCAATTCCATCGCATCCCCACATCCGCACCGAGATTCCGGGCAACATCAGAGCCATGGTGACGCTTGCACCAATCGCGGAGGAGCGGAGCAGCATGCGCGTAAAGGGGAGTGGGCGGCTTGAGGGTGAATTGGAAAGGATATTGAATTGCCGGAGGAGGTAGATGGATGTGCCGATCATAGCACCCAGTATGGAACCCGCTGTGAAGGCGCGTGTGAAGGCGTGGGCGGTAAGGATAATATATGGAAGTGGCTGTTCCTCTGCATGGAGTGTACGTGGCCAGAATTGAGACATTTGCGAGGCTTCCTGTTGTAGTCTGAGGTGGGCTTCAGCAGTGTACGAGTGGTCCTTAGAACTGTGACCCCATATTTGAAAAGGATTAGGTCATTTGTGTATGTGGTCGATTCTGTGTAGCAGGAAGAAAGAGGGTTGGGGTTAGCCACGCAGTTAAATACGTTTTTCTGCTTATAGATGAGTATGTCCCATTCCAATAGAATCCTACGGAAAGCCCAATGAAGTTATGGAAATAAGGAGGTTCGAAACCGCGGCCGGGAATGATTCGTTATCCCACACTCATTGACCTGCAACGCCTCGGCACGTTTGATGTTCGCGTCATCACTTCTATAGATGAGCTACGTAACAACGCGGACTTATTTCTGCAGTTGCATATCATTCTAGTAATCAAGTACGGGCAACGTCAAAAATAAAGGACATGTTAGAGTCCAGAAAGCGTGAAGCTCTCAAACAATCCGACATTTCAAAGCCCCACTCTCAATATTTGGAAAAGTTGACTCGGACACGCACCCAATAATCCCCCTCTAACACCTCCGGCAACGGCTGACCTGAACATTATTATGGTCTTCACTAGTTAAATGTACCATATACATAAAACCGGGCCAGACATGACATTATTCGGAAATTCAGCTAGTAATTGACCATGTACCGTCATTAGGATCCTAGAACATGCTAGTGTCGGAGTAGGTGTAGCCACTAGGCGGGAGGCGTTCTTTAGAGCCGTGGGCCTAATTACCTCCAATCGATATAGACGATTCTAAAGGCTGGATAAGACGGTTCACCTAGCCGTATATCTAGACATGACTTATTAGTTATAGCCGAATGATAGTATATATATAGTGATAAACTAGAATAGAAATATATACCTAGTTATTGCCATTAGGCTTAGCGATCTTTAGATGCTATATTCCCTAAATTCTAGTTACGCACTAAGCGGAGTCTAGTTACGGAGATCGTAAAGGAGTAGATATAGGGTGTTTCGCCCGATAGTGATAACATTTAGCTAAAACCCTAGCTACTACTTAAGTAATGATCGAGATAAGCGTAAATTACCTATACTAGCACCTTAGTAAAATATATCTCCTTCCTTAATAATACCACTACCGTATAGACCTTGACATTTCCCATGGGACTAGTGGGCATGCCCATGGTGGGACTAGAACCCCCGTT